GGGACATCTGTAATACTTTCAACAATGAAGATTTAAAAATAAATAAATAAAACAAATACTAAATTGGATCTTTAAAAAAGAATCATTTTCAGAAGTGTCTAATGGAACCGTTTTCCAGTGTTGACGCCTAGCTACATATTGCCTCAAGTCATCGGTTCCCTTTTAGAATTGTAAATGTTCAGCTTATTTAATTTGAGTGTGTGTTATATATTTTTTAAGTTGTCAAACTATAAAGAATGTGAAAAGAGCCCACAGGCACAGGAGTAGGGCCAGAATCTAAATGCCTGCTCACCCACTTCCCAGCCATGGGTGTGTCATTTATCACGTCTTATCTTTGTTGTCTCATCAGTGAAAGAGGATAATCGCCTGTGAAACTGACTGAAGGGCTCACAGTGTCCAGCCCGGTGCAGGCGTATTCACTTTGCAAGGTGGTTGTAAGGATTGCAAGTCCTTAGACTGAGACGGGTAAATAAAACACTCACTCAGGAATCAGTAGCTAAAAAAAGAGTGACGATGCTGGTAATAATTGAGCTATTTGATTTTATTTCATTTAAATGTTAAAAAAGACAGTGTTGGCCAGTAGAAGCAGCCTGCAATAGAGAAAAGGGCAGGGGCATTGAAGTCAGACAGGCCAGGCTTGGAGAAACCCTGGCTGGGGCGCATTATTTTACCTCCTTGACTTCAGCTTCCTCCTATTGAAAATTGATATAATAATTCCTACTTCATGAGATTACTTCAAAGGCTAACTGGCCTAAGACATGCCAGATGCCCAGCACAGGGCCGGACATGGTGGGGACTGGCAATGTTCGTTTCTTTCCCTTCTTACTAAAGTATCACAGTACAGGTACTGATTTGATGACTGGCTGTACAGGCAAGAGTCTTAAAATGTCCAATTCTTAAAGCATCCAACTCTTCATGTGTCCAAACTCAAAAAACTACCGTGTGAGTGCTCATACCTCAGTGATACAAATTAGTCATGACATTAAAAGCAATAATGTTTGAGGCAGGCATCATTTTTATTGTTATTGAAATGATATTTTCTGCAAACACTGGGAGGTATTTTTATTCCTAAAAATAGGTACAAGGAATCGGTGTTGACCTATCAATATAGAGACAAGTCAGTTGTGAGGCTGAGATATTCCTTTTTGTTTTGTTTTGTTTTGTTTTTTGTGACAAGTTATTTGTATACAGGAGTACACTTCCATAAATGCATACTAAACAAATGTGTGGATGTTTGGAAAAGAGATTTGCTGAACTCTTGGAAAAGAGAGTTTTACATATATAAATGCTTTTATAAAAGAGGTTTCAGAAAATATAGCAGAGCTGTTGCAGTGGCATTTGTATTTTATTCACAATGCTTACCTTGTTGCGTTTTATGTGAAACTACTGAGCATGCAAGAATTTGTGATTTTGTTGTTGGTACAGTATTATTATGAACAATGGAATAGCTTATATCTTTTCTGGAAGGCCGGAACATCCTGGAACATTGTATTCCACAGTAAGGTTAACTTAACAAAATACAAATTGCTTCAAAGCAACAAACATCTCCGAAGCAGAGGCCTTGACCACCATCTCTACTCGTTTATGTCCATAAAACAGTTGCCCTCTCAGTTTAAGATTTTTCTTTTCAGGTTCTTCCTCCTGTAAATGATAAAAACTCATGTGAATTTCTTTGCAAATTGAAACCTTCAGAGAGGAATAAGTGAAGCAGCTTTAACACACTGAGATTAAAGTTTTGGCATTTATCACTTTCATCGGCATTCAATATATTTGCCCCAACATCTGAATTTGAATTCAGCTTCAAAAGAACCATTTTTAAAAGTATGTCGCTAATTTTTGCAAAA